TTGAATTTATGGCCTTTATACATGTATTTATTTCCGATTTATTGGCCCTATCTGAGTAAGTCATTTAGAGATAAGATAACTGGATCCCACCCCAGTCTCCTTTCGAAGATGATTTGACCTTTAAGATGACTCATCGAATAACTAATATAGTATTTGTTAATTCAAAAGGAACTATTAATCCTAAACAAAAGTCTACACAGGTCTAACCATGTTCTATACTACAGAGAATGTCCGAATCCTCGCACTTGACTCAATTGCTTCCAGTTAATCTACATACCTCATCCAAATTCCTCATATTGCGATTTTTAGTTCATCACTCTAATCCCCTTGAATGCTTTGTGAGACGGGCCAATAATAATGAAGGTGACATTGTAAAAGGCTACCCAAATGAGAATTACTGATACTCATTTTTCAACAATAAATCGTATTTGGAAGAAAATTGCAGCAATAAAGAAATGTCATGTGAGTTTCAGAGAAGCAACTTAAGTGAGTGAAAACTCTTGATTCAGATGGAAAAAGTGGATCCCTTTCATTAAAAATGATAACTCGATAGGAGTCTCGCAGACACCAAATCTAGCGATGAACTTATCTTAAGATGCATGCAGCTGGGTTAACTAAAATTGCTAGTCTAGTTTAGGCTCTTGGACGAATTTGCCAGACCGGATCCTTCAAACGGATAGAAAGTACTCAGTCTGAAAAGCATATTTTTATGGTGTGGTTAATAGATAGCCTGAATTGAACTAGCCTTTGTAGCAAGACTTTTGGCCCATCTAGGCTCACCTGCTGAATTTTACATCAGGTTGACAACTCAATAAGGTTAGAAGTCGATTTGGTGACAGCCGACATAATTCAGAATTCTGACAAGGCATATAAATGTATATTAATAGAAGTATCTTGCCTTATCAAGGAGGTTATCCTTGATGGTACTGAAAAAAACATGAGTATGGTATCGGCACCTAGTCATGATAATAACCGCGAATTTAGAGTTGGCTTGTCGCAGTAATCATACTTGTCACAGTCTGCAGCCCCTGGACTTTCAAATAATTTCATGATCTAATAGGAATTACGCCAGTTCGACATAATTGAGGCGAACCGGTGCTAGCTTTAAATATTACTCATGACATAAAATCATCCAGGTCTAAAATCTACATACCTGCCTAAAGGCTAAGGTTTTCTTCCCTTCTAAGATGTGTACCTTAAATGAGTGATGGACTTGAACGCTCAACTTAGTCTAGACCGAATTCCCTGGGATAGGGCTGCCTGCTGGCGCGCCGCCTTTAATGCACAACACGTCTTCGCGCCTCTGGATCGTGACAAAGCGGGTAAATAGGACTGCGCTCGTCCAGCATTAAAGATAAAACAAAGAGCCTAAACGGCTGAACTCTATTTGCCCCACAGTAGTAAGAAAACTCATCTCGAACCAACTTGAACGACTTTGTGCTGCGCCTTTACGTATCATTTGATCATAGTCTATTCAGACTTGGCTATATCATGGATCACAACACCTCGATTAGTCAGCATAATCCCCTGCTGTCTGTATTATTACCGAGCATCAAAACTGCACCTTTAATATCATTATAACTATGCACACCTTTAAATCCATAAAGACCCCAAACTATGCTTTAGTATTTTTATCTTACCCATCTGTCCCAGATCAAGTCTTGCGTGTCCAAAAGTCAGACTTCAAGTTCAAAGGAAGGAATACTCAAGATTCCGACGGAGATGACATGGAAAATGTTAGGTCAAACCCCAGTACATGAGTAAGCAGACAAAACGAGCCACGAGGAACCATCAAGGAGAAACCAAGAGAAGCTATGAAAACCGATTATTTGAGCACACTTGAACTTGAAGGCAAGATACGTGGGAACACAGCTATAGTCAGACGGTTGATTCCAAGGCAAAAAGGAAATTAAGGAGTCGAAAATAGAGTTAAAATAATTTGTCTACTCTAGTGGATATCCTAATTGAGGGATGACCGATTAAATGAAAAAAAGACTGAAAAATCTAAAATCCAATCACTGCTTTGACTTCCAAGTCAGTTTTACTATATATTTCATCACACCAATTGTTGAAATGGGAATTACAACATAAGTGAAGTTACTTCTTTGATCCACAGCAGAAAGAAAGTCCACAAGGTTTCCGCTATTTTCTCCAGTGTGGTAGATTGATTTACAAGATAGGTAAATAGTAGGCAAGTTGTCAATTAATGAGCATCTACGAGCCAGTTTGGACTCAAAATAAGCTAAGAGGCGATAATAGAGGCTAGAGCGATAAATTGTCTCAGTTGAGAGGATTACATCGTAGGTATCAGTAGGATCTTCGCGGGAGAGGTGAAGCCAGTCACCGGAAATAAAAGAAGCTGAAGATTTCGGAACGTCTTTATGGAAAACAAAGTTTGTAGTACTTTGTTTTTCGAGAGAAAGTACGTTGCATAAAACGTTTGGAATGGTCCATGCCTTCAAGACAAAATCGTTGTAATCCTGAGAAATGAGAAAGGAATACAATTTTTATGAACATTAACAAAATATATAGATGGTATTTTATCATGAGAGTGTAATATAACTGAGTACAAATAAGGCAAATCAATTAAAATATCAAGGCAGGATGAGTATTGCCAATGAAGAATCCTAGTCTCATTTGCAAGGTAAAATAATAATAATAATTTGAATCTTTATATTTTATTTTGATTCTTGTTTCAGGTAAAGTTTGAAGCCCACGTTCACCAGGATACAATCTTCGAACCAAAACGAAATCAACACACAATCGGAAAGATGAACAATTCACACATAAATCCGGCAGCCTCAACAAGCAAAAGGTGTCCGGATGCAATTACGCAACCCTATAGCTCAAATTGTGCATCCTTTATGAGATTCTCGTTCTAGCTACATGCGATTATATTACAATACAACATATTCCCTCCTTAATTGACAATGCAACTCGGCGACCCTTGTAGAGGTCATTGCACTTAAGTTCTGAGTACTCTATTAAGGTGCAATTTAGCGCATATAGAGGTACTAAGACATGTAACCGAGGGATTAAAACGACCGAGTTCTAGGACAAAATGTAGGCTAGTTGGAAAATTAAGCACGATGCATCCATCACCCATTAACTCTGCTGAGAGAGGAAAAAGACAGACATTAACAATAGTTAACACGCTTTTGTATTGGATAAGAGTAGGTTAATGTATTCCATGGGGAACGTATAAAGTATATATAATATTTATGTAAATGTGCGAGAAAGCACAATCTCATGTAGGCTAGGACCTGCACACCAAGGATTCTTAAACATGTTGGGATAAGTCTTCAGTTAGGTAAACGGTTTATTCGATAAAGACCCTAAGTAGAAACTAATCCACGGCTAATGAAAATCATTAAGCAGACAGGAAAGGGAAGACTCAAAACATGAATCACGTATTGTACTCACTTGAAACATTACATGCATAGCTCCGGACTTAAGAGCAAAAATACCAGGCAGCCCGCAGCCACATCCCACTTCAAGAACTCGTTTACTTCGAAAGTCAAGTTTTTCGGACAATTCAAGATACCCTATAAGATCTATGCTTCCATTCCAGAGTGTTAAGCCTCCTTCAACTATTCCGGGTTTAACGTCCATGTTTTGTGAAAAAACTACTCTTTCTTCCTCAGTGCAATAGGATTGAAGACGATCAGCGACATACTTCTCGGAGATGTAGTATAACTCTGACTTATAATATTTTGTTCACATACCTAGGCCGTTCTTAGACCGAAATACAGACTTGGGATGTTCAGTAACAGCACCAACTTCTAGAAAATGGCAAGTGATTAAAAAACATACCATTTCCCAGTTCAAAACGGCATATTTCAGATTTAAAAGGTTCAGCGACCACATCACTCTCAGGCGGGGAGGGACAATCTCCCGCTAAGTGTGACAGCAACATTTATCAAGATGTTTGGGGTTCCCACACATTAAACGATAATTACAATACAAATACTATTAGTTCTGCGCCTTATAAATTGAAAACCTGGCAACTTTTATTAATACACTAAAAATGATTTTGGCTCTAAAACCAAATCGTCTCTCCTTATGTCGAGGCCTCCCTCCAACTTCTCGTGGGTATCTGACTCGGTCGCTGGTTTTGCCTTTCCTTATACCAAAGAAGAAGTACAATATTTAGTGAATGATGCAAAAATTTCTCATATTATAACGATGTGTTACGAGGTACCCGAGGCTGTGTCTCAATTTTCATGTAAGTTATTTATTTATTCGTGAATTCTTTGCGCACACGTTTTTTGTTTATAAATAACTTTCGTTCGATTTTTAATCGCGAGTTTCCTGGATGCGATAATGGGCTATCTCAATTACACTGAATATGGAAATTATAAAGGGACAGATCCAGGTCGAAGTTTTTAGAAGATAATTGTAACCGTTATCGATATGAACAAGTTTTTATGTAGATACGAAGTGTAATTGGGTTTTGATGAATCTCCCGAGATAACATTGGGAGGACTTTCATTTCGCATGAAAGTGCATGAAGAGGAGATTCGTAGGTCGATCTCACCAGAAGAGGACGGCTGAATCCCGTTGTATTGTAGCCGTTTGGCCTTTATACGACGTTCAGTTTGACGCAGTCTACGAGACCACTCTCGTTTCGGATTAAAATGGGCCGAGCTTTAGCCCATCATATGATGGACATTATCAAAGCTGGAACTCATTCTTGTATAAGTCTTAAGTTAAAACTGAAGCAAAAAGCTTGAAACTTTTACA